TATATATATATATATATATATATATATATATATATATATATATATTGGTCTTTTTCTCTTTCAAATTTATGGTTTCTTTTGTACTAATTCATGATGCATACATACATACACACACACACAAACACATTCCTAAATATATTCTACTGTGTATATATTCATATATAAATATATATTTATGTGTTTCTACAATATATAACATACTACTAAATAAATAAATAATCAATATATTGTAAAGAAATTTATATCTTCCTAAATCCTTCAGTACAACCTTCTTAATCAGTACAATGTTAATTGTATGTATAATTTGTGGGCTGGCCATTTGGTGTTTCATAAACAATTGTGATTGTTTGATCTTTACAACTGTTGAATCACTCTGGGTTGTTTTTTTTTATACTATCAATTAAGTAGACATTTTGCTGTTTCATTTTTATAAAAATATAAAATTAGAAAAAGGAAATTATGACTATATATTTTTTCACTCGTGTATGTGTTTTATCCAAATAAAGATAATAAACCTTTTTTTTAGAAATCTTTGCATGTTTTACTGACATTTCTTATAAACTATGCCAGTTAAACAGTAAGGAGTGACTATTAACTTTCATCTACATTTTTTCCATTTAAGGCTATCTATCTCATCAGAAATCCCAGAGATGTTCTTGTTTCTGGTTATTTTTTCTTTAGTAAGACAAACCTTATGAAGAAACCAGAGTCACTGGAGACTTATTTTGAATGGTTCCTCAAAGGCAATGGTGAGTATTCTGTGAAATATGGGTGATGGGGGAAACTCAGAGACATTTTTTAATTAATTTATTTATTCGTTTATATTATATCCCAATATCCAGCACCCCTCTCCTCTCAGTACCCCCTCCCACAGATCCTTTCCTCAATCCCATCTTCTCTGAGAAGGGGTAGGTGCCCCAAGGGTATCTCCCCTCCATGATATATCAAGTATCTGCAGGACTAGGTACATCCTCTACAACTGAGGCCAGACCAAGCTGCCCAGTAAGGGGAATGGGATCTATAGACAGAAAGCAAATTCTGTGACAGCTCCAGCTTTAGTTGTTGGGAGACCTTCTTGAAGACAAAGCTGCACATCTGCTACATATGTGAAGGGGCCATATATCTAGCTGATGATAGCTTTTTGTTGGTGGATCAGTCTCTGAGAATACCCAAAGTTCCGGGTTAGTTGACTCTATTGATCTTCCTCTGGAGTTCCTATCCTCTTGGCCTCCTCAATTCTTTCCCCAACTCTTCCACAAGTCTCCTAGAGCTCTACCTAATATTAGGCTGTGAATTTCTGCATCTGTTTTAGTCAGCTGCTGGATATAGACTCTCAGAGTATAGTTATTTTAGGCTCTTGTCTGCAAGCATATCAGAGTATCAATAAAAGTGTCTGAGATTTTTTTTCTTGCTTGTGATGTGTACCTCAATTTTGTCTAGTAATTGATCGACCATTCTCTCAGTCTCTGCTCCATCTTTTTCCCTCCAGTTCATGTAGGCAGGACACTCCAAGGCAAATGTTTTGTGAATTTCTTGCTGTCATTATCCTTCCACTGGGACTCCTACCTGGTAACAGGACGTGGCATTGTAGACTCCATAACTCCTACTGTGAAGAGTCGCAGACAGAGTCACCACAATAGAGTCCCTGGAGTCTCCCCATGCCAGATCTCAGAGACTATTTTGTTGGCCTGGAACTCTCTATATAGTCTGGGATGACTTTGAAGCTTGGCTCCTACTTCTGCTACTTTTTGAATTCTAGGACTACAAACACCTACTGTGTACTTTATTGAATTGATTCTGAGGCTAAACCCACAATTTCATGTGGATTACCTAACTTGTCTAAATCTCTAGCCATTGAGGAACTTTTGTAGGCTCCATTTTGTGCCTCTACATTCAACCAGTCTGTGGGCCAAAGGCTCATCAACATTTCAAACCTGATTGTGAAGTCTTTCTGTTCTTACACACCACTAAAGAACAGGAAACAGCCACAGCTTGTGCCATTATGTACAATTTCAGCACCATTTGGAATATCTTGTCTTTCCAACTTAATGTAGATGCATCAGTCTTCATTTTAGTAAGACATGTCCCACATAGGCCCCCACATTTGAATACTTGTTTCCCAGTTGGTGGTGCTTTTCCAGAATGTTTATGAGACACAGCCAAGTTGGAGGAAGTATTCAATTCATGGAGGGCTTTGAGAGATTAAACTCTTAAGCACCTTCCAGTGTACTCCCTCTGCTTTCTGCTTGTAGTAAAGGAAATGAAATCCCAGCTTCCTGTTTCTATAGCTTTTCCTGCCATGGACAAGTTCTCTCTTCCTTAAGTTGTGTTTTTCATGTTGTTGTTTTAGCACAGCAACAGAAAAATAACAAATGCTATTTTCTTCCTACCATGTTTCTCATTTGTGGATTTTCTTAGTCTTTTTTGTAATTTCTTCCTATACACCAAGCAGAGAGGGGCCACCCAGAACCTCCTCTGACTGGCGATCTGAATTCTTGCTTAGGCTGCGAGGCTAAGTTCTGCAAGGGAATATAAATAAAAATTAAAAATATCTCTCTGTGGTCCCTGACAGACTAGCCTGACTGCATATGGGTTGATGTCAAAAGTATCCCCTCTCCAGAAAAAAGACATCGTGATGCGTATGGCCCTCATGGCTCACTGGACAACAACAAGGGGACTGAAGCCACTACAAGGTCCCCTTCAAATACTGGAGGTCAGGCCTCTATCCCTGCCTTCTCAAGTTTAGAATTGCCACAACCGTTCTATACTTAGAGAAGGGAGGAGATATCAGGGGCAGCCCTGCCTATCCACTGAAGGCCTAAAATCAGCCATAGGCCTAAAATCAACAATAGGCCTGTCATACATGTATACTAACACCGAGTCTTGGGTCTCAGTGGAAAAACATTGAAACAGATGGCTATAAGCTAATGTAAACAGGCAGCCTTTATAGAAATCTACAAGCCTGGATAGTCATAGACCTTGTAAATAGGTAACCTGGGCACATAATACCAACTTAGATAAGGACAAGCAAGTCATAGG